GGGGGGGGTGAGGGTGTGTGTGAGGGCACCATTACGTCAAGGCGGTAGCCTTCTTGAGGTATCGTGGGCGCCAGCTTGGGGGCGAAGTGTGTCATGGAGAGGGAGGGCGGGGAGGGAGTCGAGAAGAATGCTATGTCCGTCACTGGACTTTGAAGGATGAGTGAGATGGATATACGGCCCGAGGGCTTGAAATCACGGCTGTAAATGCCGCGTCGGTCCAAGAAACAAGAAACTGCTGCAAAAAGTAGAGGGGGCGGCGCGTGACCATCGTTCTCACAGCGCCCGCCCGGTCCTTTTTCTTCTAAAATCACGTAGGAGTACGAGTAGTCAATTGTCGCGAGAACAAGATAATCCTGGGCCATGCATGCATGCAAAAAAAAACTCCCCCTTTTGGTCACATGGCGTTAAACTGTCCCAACAACGCGATAAGAAAAGCTAAACGAAAGCCCGCGATCACCATCAATTTTGAAAAACAAAGCAAAACAAAGGTTGTTGTTGGCATAAAAACTGTGAATCGTATCAGAAAGAACTGTATTCGACAGTCTAGATCGTAGACTCCCTGGGGAGGGCCTCAAAACCTCGACTGTTCCGCGGGGAGAGTAAGTGTCGGCAGCGAATTGGGGGGGGTGTATTCATAGTGGTGCATGCCGTAGTCGTTTGACCATTGACCTCGCATCCCTACAAAGCCGGGACGGAGCACGCCGGGTTCTCACCGGACCAGGCTCTCACATCACCAAGCGCGAAGCGCCGTGAGGTATTTGGCGAGTCGCATGAAGGGTGAGCTGCATCCTGCTAAGGGTGTTCGGCATCTTGTGCTTACTTCCTTGCGTACGGATGACAGCTGCGTATGACTTAATTTATTTTCTGGTGCTTTCACTTCCAGAGACAGTTGTAAGCGCTGTGTAACTGCCTCGAGGACGCTTGACCATTTTAACACAACGTGGTGCGATCATCCCCCTTGCGCGGAGTGAGGTTTCTCGACCCCGCCCAACTTGATCTACTCGACGACCATTATGGTTACCGCAAAAAAAAAAACAGAGGTAAAAAACAAAACCGGTAACCTGGTTGCCGAGATCACGAAGTGAATTGGCTTGTTTTACAACGTCGTTGCCAAGCGACGAAAACCCAACCCCGATGGCAAACACCGGAGGGGCGGGGGGGCGGGGGGGGCGAATTGGGGGGGGGGGGGTCTACAGATGGGAATTATCTCATGATCAAGTGCAGCTTATCCCGGTTCGGCATCGCATCCTGTTGCCATAAAGCAATCGAGCTTTTGGCGATTGGTCCAGGGGGGGGGGTCTGAGAAGCACCGTCACGTACGCAAACCCTTTGGACAACGGCGGCAGCGGCAAGGAGCGCGCCTACCAGATGTGCCGTTTCAGAACGCAAGCATGGCACGGATCACGGGTCACCAGCGATACTCACAGACGTGAGCCTTCCCCTCCGCCACCAGGAGCAGCTTGAGGCTTGAGCCCATGGAGGTCGTCGACGGGTTCTTGTACCTTGTGGGGAGGGCATGGTATTCGGATCGCGCGCGCGGGAAGAGAATATGAATACTCCGTATACAACACGCCACAAAAATATAAAAAAATAGACCTTCTACAATACCATATCTCAACAAAGGCGGGTCAGTGAGAACGTCATGGAGGTTTCTTACGCCAGGCCAGCGTAGCACCAAACGCGCAGCGTACTGTAAGGTGTTTGGCGAGCTACTTGTGCGCGGAGGGGGAGGCTCCGAGCAAAAAAGGGCGACAATGAGATAGGCCATCCCAGAGGAATGCGGTACTCGAGGGCGGAATGGCTCGCGTTGTACACTTGACAGGAAACAGCAGTACCAGGCACACAAGCCGGCACGAGCGACTAAGAAAGTGGGCAGAGGGGCAGGATATGTGCACGTGGAGAAGCGACGATCGCAACATCGATTCCCCTACAGCACGCACGGCATATACTCTATGCCACTTCCCAGGGAATCAACTCTTTGTGAACCGCAGCTCCGTATGCAAGCGAGGAAACACACGTCGTTATTTACCACTGACGCTGTCAACTGCAGCAAGAATCCATGATGCCAAGCGCACGACACGCGCGGCACACAAAAATTCCTGCTGCGGCGCTGTGCACTCTCTTTCTTTTCGCGTCGGTAGATTCACCAAACACACCGCACTGCCGCAAAACCTCATCCGTCCCGGCTTCGTAGGGATGCGAGGCCAATGGTCTTACGACTGCAGGCATGCACAACTATGAGTACCCCCCCCCCACCCCCCCCCCCCC